GCTTGGAGGTTTCAGTTCAACATGTGACAGATCTGGGATCATGAGGGTCCCCTATAGAAAGCTTTTTGTGGCATCTTAGAACATATATATGAAGTTGGTGGTGGATCTGTGATAATGGACATTCAGTGCTGGTGACTATCTCATGATCTCGGTGTGTCGCTTCCGTCAAGTCAATCAAAGGAGATGTTCTATCATCACAAAGCTCAAAAGCTTGCATTGACAATGAACAAGGGACAGACTACTTGCTATCTATTTGCCAAGCTTTAGAGGATGCAGCAGGAGTTTGAGGGGGTTATTGGGTGTTGGGAATTTGACGAGAAATAGTTTGTCTCCATAGTTATGTCAGGAGGATTGAAGTCTTTCATCTCTAAAAGCATCTGTTGTTAATGCATCTCGAGCTTGATTTTATATGACGGCGAAGCGACTTCAGATCAAATTGAGAAACTTGTAGATGATGGCTGCACAAGGATATTCATGAGTACTGCTTGAGAGCTTGCAGGTCATGTTACTTGTTATTGGGCTAAGGTCTCCTAGTAACAATTTCTCCTTGTCAGCACCTTTGTCTTTCTCATCAGCTTTCATGTTCAGATCAAGAGTGTTGTTGAAGCTTGATTGCCTTGAGAATTTTTTTTTCTTCTTCCTTGTCAATACAATGTAGTGCGATGATTGGCTTTATAGAATCTTGGACTTTTCTTGGCTCTGTTTGAGGATTCCCACTGTTTTTCTTTTGGCTTCTTGATTGCCAGTGTCGTCTTGATAACCGATCTTTAGTTCCTCTTCATCATTATCTGCTTCTCCCCTACATTGCTTGTAGAATCAGAAATTATTTAAAATAATACTGTTAGGCAAGATTTCGATTCTCTTCTGTCAAATCCCAGAATTCTTCTCTTGAATTCATCAGCAAGCAGTTACAGAATTGGGTATCAGCAAAGTGAACATCTTCCACCAACATTATGTCTTCTCATGGTGGATGTCTACATTTTACATAAGGGTTTTGCTTCAGCACTGTCTATTTTCCTCGTGTTCATCTGCAACAAAAGATCAGCAGACCCAGAAAAAGATTTAGCAATGGCACAAACTAGCCTACTTGTAATTGACTGAGGTGAGACACAGGAAAGAGGAGGAAGGCAAAGGAGAGGAGCTCATGACTTTTGAGTTTTTGCTTTGGTATATCAGCTGCCAACATTGCATCCATGCTGGCAAATTTGCTTTGTCTATGATGATGTAGTGGGTTGACTAACTGTAGATTTTTTGAAAAAAAATGATAATTTTATTTCCTCTCACTTTAGGGTATTACATTGAGTGTGTTTATATAACTCCTAAACTATTAATAGGAAAATTATCC